TTTTTTTTTTTTAGAATAAGTTCAATTAGACGAACCATGTTATCGTTTAGTCCTCTTCCACGCGCATCGTTCCATCTTCTTCGTCCCCCCATCTTCATCGCATTATTAGTATCTTACCGTCATCGCTTAGAGTCCATCTGTTAGAAGAATATGAAAATAAGAAAGAGAGAGAGAAACAAAGGAAAAGACGTTAAGAGGCTTTTGTACTTGCGATTGATCTTGTTCTTCCCTTGCTTAGTCCGACTGGAAACGCAGCCGATACATACGTTCGTTTGTACTAATTAAAAAAAAAAAAAAAAAAAGAAAGAAGAAGAAAGAAAAAACGGAAGCGAATTTAGATATTGTAAATTAGTAGCCGCTCGTGTAACTGCTCGTGATTTTTCGTGACTCACGCGTGAAGCTACCTGAGGTCAGGCGACCCGTGAACTTCACTTTACCGATGACGACGGTAATTCGAGATCAAGCACGTATCCCGAAACTTTCTCGACCGTGTGATTTGCTCGTGTTCTTTCTTTCTTTTCGCCGTGTTGACATTTTAACCTCGCCAGGGGGAAGGTTTTCTCTCCAAACGATATTTTTACACGGAGTGATTATTATTTTATTCGCGTGACACACTTCGGAACGATCGGAGACACAGAGACTTGCCACGACTTCTCGACTAAAACATGAATCTAAAACTCTCGATGGCAATGAACGAAGAAAGAAAGAACCTCCTACTTTCGCCAGAAAATTGCAAAATAATGAACCAAAATAATGGTCAAAAGATTTGAAGATTGTATCGTAATTATGAAAAAAAAAAAATATATATATATATATGTTAATTTCCGAAATATTCAACTTGCTAATTATAGCTATCCCTTTAAAAGTTCCTCGTAAGTGTTGCATCAATGTTTCGAGCATAATCGCGTGTTAACAGTGCAAATCGCTGTGCTAAACGTATCAAGCAGGACACGTGAGTCAACGAAAGATCGTTCAAGACGAATCGGTCGTAGCACGGATTCGTTGTGTTTATTATATAGTATATATAAATATATATATATATATACGATGTATGATATAATTATTGGCATTAAAACGAGACGAATGAATTTAAGTATGTAGCGACGAACAAAAAGGAGAAAGAAAGTCAGATCTCTCGCTGCGTATATGCGCATGTACACCGCAAAAAAAAAAAAGACTAACATCGTAGTTTATATAATCTCGCTGATACGAATTATCGCAGTATGTTGGTTAATTTCGACGGTTTATGGTTCATTCGAGTAGATATTGTTTGAAACAAGTAGCCAGTCACGTTGTTCGCGAGGGCCACACGGTAACGCCTATGTAGTTGAAATTACCGCTCATTGTACGATAGTTGCTCATCCCATTGTTTACCGCCAAAAAGAAAAAAAGAAAAAAGAAAAGAAAGAAAGGGAGGGAAAAACATGTAACAGAGAGAGTGCGTGCAATTGTTAAGCGAGTAGTTCCTATTCAGTCTCCGAATTTCACGGTGTGTTTTCCCGTGTCCCTGAACCATCCTCCTTTCGACCGTCGATAGTTTCATTAGACGACGAAGTACAATCGAAGAGGAACGCAGCAGGAACAAATTTTAACAAAAAAAAGAAAAACAAAAAACCTCATCTACCGTTTTCGTTAATATTTATTCATGAACCGCGAACGCGATACGAAAAAAAAAAAAAAAAGAAAAGAAAAGAAAAGAAAAGCATTCTGCCACTCTGCTCCGCTACGGAACGAACAGCGCGCAAATTTACCAACAGTCACACTTGTCGCGTCCGAGTTCTTTCGCCTCTAACTGAAGAGTTAGATAGTCTCTCTCTAGGTTCGTCACCCATCGATGATTGCTATCATTTTACGCGATTTCGAGCGAATCACGCACAGAAAAGAGATCGTTGGCAAATTATTTTTAGACATTATTTTGA